GGGACTGCTGCTTTTTCTTTCCTCATTCTTACTATCGTCCTTTTTCCTCTACTTTTTTTGTATGTTTGTTACTCTTTTCTAACCCGCTATTTCCGGGGTGCCTTGATAGCCGAAGCAGACTTTGTGCTGTTGAGGCTAGAGAGGGGAGCAGAGTAAGCCTGATTCCCCGTTTGGACTTCTCTGTTGACATCCACCTCTTGGCGATCATATTAGTATTATTAGCCTATGCAGTTGCGAGCGCCGCAAAACCTTAAAAAGTAAAAGTTGTTCCGGCATCCGATCCAACATTGGGGATTGCCTTGTTAGTGAGACAACTTCCTGGGTCTTTGGCATATTGTGGTAGAGTGCCCAGTAAAACCTTACTAAAACAAATAACTTTCTCACCTTTTCTGTACATGTTGATTGGTCCACTTTTGAACTCTTTGGCCATGGTTCCGTCCCCCTTTTTTCTCTGCGGGTCTATCTCCTTCATCTTGGAGAAGCTGAAAAGCAGAAACAAAAATCTTGTGAAATGCCTGCATGTTGGAGGTGTGGGGCAGGGTGGACGTAAAAATAGTATGTGTGATTATACATCAATATGTCATGTACTTAGAATATTATTGTCTGAAAACTCACGCACGCACGCACGCACACACCTTTTTCAAATAAAAGCAAGTAGAGTTTTCTCTATAACCAAACAAATATTACCACAAGTGAAACTAAACTTCTCGTATAGGTATGGCAATGGCCACTTTTGGTGGAGGTCAAGATTTCTGGAAACCCCCGATTTTCGGGATAGCCCCCTTGTGTTTAAACGCGACCAAGTCGTCCTTACCTGCAGGCGTCCACTACTTCTTTACAGAAATCTTCCGTGACGTCGAGCCCGAGAAACTTGGCGAGGTCTTTGGTCACGGGGACAGGATTCTGGGGAGAAAATTGTTCCGTTCTACTGTTAGATTATATTTATGAGGCATCGTGGGGAAATCAGGCGCTCGTCATAATAATGAAATCGAAGACAACGGCATATTCACGATGGTTTGGTATTTTATATATATTTTTCGGG